TACACTTGAGTGAGTTAACCTCTAGAAATGACATCTTCCTCGTGTTTAAAACAGGGATAGTAAATCTTAACCTTCACACTTCCAACGATTTAGTGGCTATTAAATGATACTCTGGTTCAGAAAGCATGTTGTAATGACAATATGCCATTCAAATGGAATATAAGGTAGTATAGCTGCTACTAATCATTACTTTATATTGTTGCTATATTCTTGACAGATCCTTTGAAATTTGAGAGTACTAATAGTAATGAGGAGTAGCAGGTATTAATTTTTCAGTGTCAAGGTCACTCTGTCGTGGGGAGTTGAACAGTCTCCGTGTGGGAACACTGTAGTTGTTCTGACAAACTCTGTTTTCCAAATAAAAACAATTTAACTTCCGTTTTTAATAAAACTAAATATTTAAACTCTATAAAGAACCCCCATTGACTACTAGTTACCATCAAAGACAAGTTAAATATGATTAATCATTTTATTACTACGAATTTAATTGAATTTTCCTTGGTCCTCTGTAATTTCCGAGAAGTTAAAAGGTTAGACTGCTGTGTTAGTTAATGCACCATTGAAGATATTTAATTGTCTTAATAGCAGATCATAGAAGGGTGTGGGTAATTTAAATAAAGCAATTTCACACCTTAATTAATGTTACATGGAATCCTTTTGGAACTGCAGGAGAATTTTAAGTGCTGGTTTGGAAGAAATGCATTGCCTTAGAAATGCATTCACCGTGCTATACATATTTACTATAATGAGTTAAGAGATGTTGTGAACAAAAGCATCTATATGTTCATTTAGAAAGAAAGAAAAAGCAATATTTGCATGAGGAACAGAGAGAGAGAAAGAGGAAGAATGTGTGGGGAAGAGGTAGGAGGGTTGTATTAAAGACTACATTCAAAAACCAGAAAAAGCTAGTTTGAATAAGTTACAATGGTTTGCAGGAGTATCACAGGCTGGCAGAAATCCAGAACGCAAAAGAAAGAGTTGCAGCTATTATCCTTTCTGTAATTAAAACAATTACTGGCAGAGAGGTTCTTTTTTGCTCCATCTTTCTGCTTTTGTCTTTTAGTATGGTTGGGTCCAAAAGAGAACCAAGGCATTTATTTCTATTTCCAGTTTATTGAAATAAAAATACCAAATTTGGCATTAGTGTCCTACCAGTTGGAGCTTTATAACATCAGGACTCCTGATTTGCTCTGTTCTTTGGTGTCTTATTATGTAGTTTTGAAGGGATTATTATTTTCCTTCCAGATTCCATTTTCATTGCCTTTAATTTCTCATGCAATGCCACATCTCACAGCATTTTTCCAATATAAAACACAATAAGACAATGTCCATTTTCTAAGATAAAATGAAAAAGGCACTTCATGTTTGATCTGATGGAATTCTCTTGAGAAATCCAACTTTCTACAATGTCTAATTTTCATATTATTCCTTAGAAGCAGGTGGAATTTGTAATAGACTTTATCTTCAGAGATGACTGAGGTGGAAGGAGATAAATTATTTTCTCAAAATTACTTAGCAAGGCTGCTCTGCCTGTGGAGTAGCCATTCTGTTTCTTGACTTCTCTAACACACTTGCTTTCATTCAAACAAAAATTGCTTAGCAAATCATTGCCAAATTTTGACCCAAAGAATTAGACACTTCTGTATTCTTGGTTACTTGATTTTCATTGGGTTGCTCTAGGAGGTCACTTTAATAAAATAATTGGTACTACCTCTACTAACTTCATATAGTAATTTAACCCTGCACTAAAATATACCTGTCTTAATAGTAGTAGGGAATGTAAAAATGTAACATACATAATATACTAAATTTCATGTCAAAGAGACAATTTATATTACATTAGATTTAGTCCAATATATTGATCACAATGATATGAATAAGTTCAAATCATCCATGGCCAGATTTGACCAAAAGGAGCTTAGAAACACCAAATTCAGAACACTGCATCTCAAACTCAGTGCCATCAGAATTCACCAGGACAGGGTTTTAAACCTATAGAGTCCTAGGTCATACCTAGGTTTGAAACATCAGATCACTTTGGAGATTTGGTTTGAGAATCTGTTAGCTTCTAAGAACACTACAGATGGTTCTGATACTGATGTTTGGGAAACAGCAGTTTACATTCTTCTGAGACTTAAATCAGATTCTATGAGCTTAAAGCACCAGTTCTAACAAAGAAAATGGATAACATGTATATGCCCAAGTGTATGTGCGTATATGTGTGTGTGTGCGTGTTAGCACTGTCTCCCCACTACAAAATAAACTGGGAAAAATAAATCAATATTCCTTTATTCCAAGTTTAATACTTCTCTACAGATGGCTCTCAATTGATCCTTAGTGATCTTATTTGCAGATATATTTATCTCTCCGGGACTCAGCTCTTGAAGCTTAAATCTTTGCAAAGTACACAGATTTTTTTTTTTTTTCCCCCAGAAGGTAAGAACCAGATCCTGAATACTCAGTCACCTGTAGGAGCTGAGTAATGTGCTTCTTGAGGGAGGAGGGAGGAGAAAAGGAGGAGACTGTATTTTGTTCTTTGTCAGAGTATTTGGCTGCTGTATCTAATGCTAAAGCGGGGGGTCACCACTAAAACACTTTACATCTGGGGGAGTTACTTATCTGTGCTTTGAACAATACTCTGAAAGGGCAGAATTGAGAATCAGGAAGCCTGTGCTGTTGTCCAAAATGCCAGGGGAGGGGACCCATGTAAGCAGAGGTTTATGTGCAATGTACATAGTAATGTGCTTAAATATCAAGTCAGTCTATCAGAATAGGTGACCCTGAAACCCCTCATTAACACTCCTGTTCTCTAAACACAGGATGAGATGTGAAAGAGTGAAGGGAAATGGGCTGGTGGGTAATTATTATTGTGTTATCAGTATAGGACTTAACCACCCTCAAACTGGCAGAGCTTAATTTTGGGAATCCTGACATTCAGAAGAGAACACCAGCAGGACTGGTATAAAGGCAGACATATTTGAAAAACAAATAAGCAGTAAACAAACAAACAAACAAAAAAGCAAAACCCAAAACTAAAAAAAACCTACTTTGGCTTTTCCTCCATCAGAGGTCAATTCCCCTCACAAACGAAGGGCTCATTTACCGTGCAGTCTGGACTCTGTTAGGATGCTGACAGTATTAGCACTGGGCTTACAGGCTTACAAAAATGCCTTTAAACATTACAAATAAAATAGTCAATAATTTTTTTGGTGAACCTATTAGCAGCAAGGTAGCTAATCTCTTATGGAGCTATCATTTTCTAATCGTTTCCTAGAAGTGTCATCTAGTTATGTGCTTTATACCTGCCCTATGGAAAAATATTATCAAAAACTTTATTTATTTATTCACTTATTTTTGGGACAGAGTCTTTCTCTGTTGCCAAGGCTGGAGAGCAGTGGCACAATCTCAACTCCTGGCAAAATCCGCCTCCCTGGGTTGAAAGGGATTCTCCTGCCTCAGCCTCCCAAGTAGTGGGGATTACAGGTGTGTACCACCATACCTGGCTAATTTTCGTATTTTTTAGTAGTGACGAGGTTTCGTCATGTTGGCCAGGCTGGCCTTGAACTCCTGGCCTCAAGTGATTCACCTGCCTCGACTTCCCAAATTGCTGGGAATACAGGTGTGAGCCGCCGTGTCTGGCCTAAAATCTATTTAAAGATAAGTTATAGCTAGGATGCCTTTCATCCTCTTCCCTCATTTAAAAAAAAAATCACAAATAATGGAAATAGCTCATAAAGCTCTAACTTGTTTATTCAATAATTAGATAAACAAAATATGTTTAGACCATTTTTACATGTAAATTCTATGCTAGGTTCAATGAAAGAACGTGGTTTTACAGTAAAGGGCTTATAAAGACTGCCATACAATGTCATTGCCAGAGAACTTTAGGAATCATCTAGTCCAAATTTTTTTACTGAGTAGGAAATAAAACTTGTTAGAATTTACCAGAAAAGAAGTGATGCATTGTTAATTCTTTCTTGGCTAGCTTGAATATGGCATTCCATTAGCTGTTTTATCTGATTGTTTACAAATATGAGTGTTTCTCATCATATCATGTATACTTGCCTCAATTTTGCATGGTGTAAAACTAGTTTACTATTCAGGTTGCATCATAGTATAACATTTCTGCTTTGCTATCACTGACTTTTCTGAGTATTTGCATATTGATAGGCTTACTTCAGATTGAAGGGCAATACATCGCAGAAGTTACGTACATAGGCATTGACATTAGGGTGCTTAGACTGCAATCCCAGCTCTGTATTTATCTAGCCCTGGTTATCTAGCAACCAGTCTTGGACTGGTTACTTAATTACTTTAAATTACATTTCTTCATCTATAAAATGAGGATAAAAATCGGTTTCCTCAGGGGAAAAAAAGGTTTATTCTAATGGTCAGTTTGAAATAAATGAACAGAGTAAGAGTATTAAATGATTATGAGCGGAAAGGGGATAAGCTCACCTGGGAAGGATGCAATGTAATACCGTAAATATAAAACTATCATTTGTTTTTCAAGGGTGGATCTTGAGAAATTAAATTATTAGGCTTAGAAAAGGAGGAAATTACATACTAGATAGTAACTACCACTCCTTTTCTACTTTCAAAATGTTTCCAGCTTCTATACCCAGGTATTTTTTCAAGTGCCAAGTCTTTGTAACAGAATTTTCCTTTTTTTTTTTTTTTTTTTAATAGGAAGAAATTCCCAGCTACTACGGAGGCTGAGGCAGGAGAATTGCTTGAATCCCGGTGGAGGTTGCAGTGAGCCGAGATTGCACCATCGCATTACAGCCTGGGCGACAGAGCAAGACTCCATCTCAATAAATAAATAAATAAATAAATAAATAAATAAATTAGATGCTATTGTGTTTTCTGAATATTTGTTTTGAATCTTTCTTCTGATCTGTTAAATTCCAGGCACACTCTCTGGAGCACAGGGGCAAGAAGCAGAATTGATGTCAACACACAAATAAGGGTCCAACAAAGACAGTCAGTTGGTTTCATACCTTCAATAGGTTTCGGTACAAAATGTGATGAGGGCTTGGTTTTCTTCACTCTGTTCCCCTTCATAATTTGACCTTCTTTATTGAGTCCCAGAAACCAAGCTCGGCCTGACTCTTGCTGGCGGTACAGTGTGGAAGAATAGATCACATAGTAGTTTTCAAACACAGATTCCTTGAATTTGCATTCTGGAGTGAAAACATCCTGTAGGAAAAAAAAAAAAGACACAAAAAAGAGAAATGATTTAAAGGTGAATCAGCAAATACTGAAATCCAATAAGCTTGAAATCCATGTCCTCTGTTAAGAACAAATGAAAGGCAATGACACATAGTTTCTATTAGCCTTTGGTTATAAAGATTCATCATACAAAATCAAAAAGCATGATTTCCTTTCTAGCCAACCTTTACCCCAGTGATAACAATTTGCTCAGGCTTGAAGCTAGGTGAAAATCATTCAGGACCATGGCCAAGTCTGCGCTCTGATCCTAGCAATATGTTTTGTAAACTAAAGTCATTGGCCATTCCTCATTTACTCGCCCTTAACATGTAAATAAGGAACTAAAATTTATCCTGGAAATCAAAATCAAATATAACCACAGCAAACACAGGCACACAAGGTGCTTTTGAAGAGACTATTCTGTATATACAAAAACATATTACATAGCCACAGCTTGGTCAGTAAAATCACCACTTTTCCTAATGTCAGTAACTTCCTCTTTAATTTCCTTAAAACATTTTTTTCCTTAGTAATCAAAATCTCAGATAAAAAGCCCAGGAATAAGTAATAGAAAAAAATTACTATTATATTGAAGAAAATTACTAACAGTAATTCCTATTACTATTGACCTCAGTGAAACACAGAATGAGAGTTTTAGTCTCAGAAGAAACCGTTAAGATTCTGTACTTCAACTCCAACATTTGGTAAGTGAGAAAACCAAAAGGTTATATGATTAATTCAAATATACATTTACAAAACTACTGAGTCAATGCCAGAGCTCACATTTATTGCTTCATAATCACCGCCTCTCAGGCTCACCTTTTCTGCCTGAGTCTTGTTTAGTGACTTATGATGAGATTTAAAAATCAATACAATAAAATCATATCCTGACATGTCACATGAACAAAATCTATTTTGTGGAAGGAAGAAATTTCTCCCCTTCTGAGATAAGCAGAAGAAACACAAATGCTATTGCATCTTCTTCAGCTGCAATTCAACAAGAGTCCTACATGTCAGACATATTCACCATAGTCATCACCTTCCTCTCCATGTACTGGAAGAATTTCAATGTGAGACCCCCATGATTTAATGCAAGCAAACGTGAAATTAAGTTATTAATGAATAGAGGAATAGGGTTGGTTGAAACCATGTCCTTGTAGGTGATACTCCCATGCTAATCTCTTTATTTGTAGAGAGTGCTCTCTCTCTTCTTTTTTTTTTCCTTTTTCTTTTTGTAAGAGATGGGGTCTTGCTATGTTGCCTAGGCTGGCCTCAAACTCCTGGGCCCAGAAGATCCTCCCACATCAGCCTCCCAAGTAGCAGGAACTACAGGTGTGTACACTGCACCCAGCTTATTTTTGAATAGTTCTAACATTACAGATTAAGAAAAATGAGACTAAGAAAACTGGAGTAGGCTGGGGTGCAGTAGCTTACCTCTGTAATGCCAGCATTTTGGGAGGTTGAGTTAGGCAGATCATTTGAGGTCAGGAGTTCGAGACTAGCCTGGCCAACATGGTGAAACCCCATCTCTACTAAAAATGCAAAAATTAGCCGGGTGTGATGGCGGATGCCTGTATTTCCAGCTACTCAGGATGCTGAGGTGGGAGGATGACTTGAACAGGGGAGGTGGATGTTGCAGTGAACAGAGATTACACTCCACACTCCAGCTTGGGTGACAGAATGAAATTGATCCAAACCCCACTCCCCCCAAAAAAAGTCCAAGAAAACACTCCCCAGAGAAAATTGGAGTAGAAAGGTGATTGTAGATACTAAAATAATAAGAGTAGCAATAAATTAATACTATGCTTATATTAATACTGAAATGTGATTTCTTAGAGTACTTTCAGTTTTAAGTAAGTGAACTACCAGCTTAAGAATCAAAGAAACAAATGACCATGAGATACTACTTCACATCCACTGTAATGGCTATAATTTAAAAATGGACATTATAAAGTGTTTGTGAGGATGTGGAAAAGCTGCAGCTCACATACATTGCTGGTGGAAATGTAAAATGATGCAGAAGCTGTGGAGAATAGGTTGGCAGTGCCTCAAAAGGTGAAACACACAGTTGCCACACAATCCAACAATTCCACTTGTAGGTCTAGTTCTAAGAGTAATGAAAACATATGTCTGCACAAAAACTTGTGCACAAATGTTCATAGTGACATTATTCATAATGTGGAAACAACCCAAACATCTATCAAGTGATGAATGCTTAAATATAGTGTGACAGTTCTACAGAATGCAACTGTAATATCATTCAATTACAAAGGAGAATGAAATGCTGATTTATGTGGCAACAAGGATGAACCTCATATACATTATGTTAAGGGCCAGGAGCCAGACACAAAAGGCCACATGTTGTATGATTCCATTTATATGAAAGGTCCAGAATAAGCAAATCCAGAGATAGTGAGTAGAGTAGTGAGTATCAATGGTTGGGGAAGGAGGTGAGATGGACATAGGGGTGGAGTGACTGTTTGTTGGAGGGATGAAATATTCTGGAATTAGATACTGGTGCTGTTTGCAAAACTTTCCGAATGTACCAAAAACCACTAAAGCATGCATGAACTTTAAAAACGTAAATTACACGGCATTCAACTGATATCTCAAAGGAAAGAAAATCAGATAAACAAGGTGACTAAAGAAAGTGAGGGAAGGAACGAAACTATTGCACATTCCTTGCCTGGCAGCACAGGGCTACATGATAACCCATGGGAAGGAAAAACAGCTCTTCTAAGGCCTTGGCTCAATATTGCCAGGATAGAGTTGAATCACTGCCAAGTAAAATGGATAAAACTAATTCAGATTCAATTTAGATGACAATATTAAGTTCTGGTTTTCTTCTAGGACTAATAAAGTATTATTGAAATGCTTAAATTTAGGTACAGATTTAGGTTCATTTTCTTTTAAAAACAAACTAAAGTAATCCCAAAGCTTTTTTTTTTTCCTAGATCTAGTCCAATACCAACAAACATAGTATTAACCCTAGATGTTATGCTAAGGAACTCTGGAAAGTTCAAGCAATACATTCTACGTGTAAGATTTCAGACTTTAGAAAGAAGTTAGGGAATAACTAATTCCTGTTTTGTGTAAGTACATATCGTCATATATGTAGATAGTGATAAAACCTTCTTATGAACGTACATCACAGAAACATGTACATTTGAAGATAGATACAAAGCTGCTTAGTGCTGCTTAGTGACAGTACAATTTGGCGCCTTTATTTAACAAGGTAATGAAAGTCCATGATAGTGAAATATTTGTCCCCAGTGTCACAGGAAGTTAGAGGCAGATCCAGACCCTGTGTTGAACAGCGAGCTCCTCGCTGCTGGTTCAGTACTTCTTCCAGTACCACACATTGCTTTCCTACTGCATAGCCAATCCTGCTTTTGACTCCAGGCTTGATTTGAGCAAGCCTTAGTCATTATTATAGAAACCATATCAGTGATGTATAATTACTACATTGTCATTTATACATGAGAAAAACAACACTCTCATTTAATAAATAATGACTCTCAGGTTTGTTTCATACTCGTTTCAAATTCCCTCCCGGAACAGTAAAAGTCACAGATACTGCACAGGAGCTGGAGTCCTGGGGTCCTGAACCAGGAACCGCATTAGGTAGGAACTGGGCTTTGGACTACTACATTGACAAACGGGGGATTTCTTACACAGCATCCAGGTCCTAATCAGCAATGAAAAGCCAAGTGGAGTTTTCCATTCAGTATAATTCCAACAGGGCTATGCAGTCAGAATCTGAAAATGAGGCAGCTATTAATACCTGACCCGGGCAAGACATTTCCGGGTGGAAACATGGCAGAAGTTTGCTGCAGGCACTTGTGTGGACACAGCCAGGCTCCCCTACAAACTGGAAGGGAAATCTTAATGACACTGAACCAGCTTGGATAGTCATTCTAAGTAGAACCTTCACAATATATGTGCAGTTCCAATTTCAATATGGAGTTGGGCATCAAATAACTTACATTATATTTGCTATTATACCTCTTTTTTTTGTAATAAGAAATCAAAGCCCACACGTGGAGTGAAAAAACAATCAGGGTTTTCCTTCTGGCTCTACACATATTAGCTGTGGGTTTTAGGTAAGTGATTACGACTCTCTGGATTTCACATTTTCAACCGTACATTGAGTTATTTTAAGGAAAAGCATGCATATGGATGCGTATTATAAACGTTTAGAATTTTAAAATCTCCAACTCATCATTATTGAGTTTTCAGGTAGCAGGAAAAATACAATGAATTCTATAACAAGGCACTCAATTCTGCTTTTGTCACACATGTTTATATCCGATCCAACATCCAGGACCTGTGCCATAGGAGTAGCTAAGGCAGGTTACAAATATGTAGACATTTAAAAAATAATCTAAAGCTTTTGGTAAAGACTTAGCAATCACATATATTCAGAAGGGGTTCTGTGGTTATAGAATGTGTGTTCAGATTGACAAAAAATCTAATGTATAATGGAAACAGGCAGGCTTGGGGTCAAAGGTGATAAAATCCTAAGCCACTTTCTTAGGCTTAGGATTCTTTCTATTATATGCACTGAATCAAATTATATGCACGTGATGGGATAGAACTGATTGACAGTACTGACTCAATCCCTTTACCTGGATGAACTTGGGCATGCTATTGAATTTTGTTAGAAATCTCTTTTTCTATTACATTAAACTGGGAGCAATAATTCTCACATTAAAAATGTGTTGAAGATTAAGTAAAATGACTGATCATATACTGAGTAAATGATCAGTATAATAAGGAAGATTTTGTTTCTTTTGTAAGAATAACCAGTAGTCATGTTGCATCTCATGAGTGTTTCTTCTTCCTATAGTCTTGAGCCCTCAATTCAGTGTAGGCATCAGAGCAAACTTACAGAAATCTGTTGAATTAGAAACACCCCCATGTTCTATTCTATATCATATGTATAGACATGTGAAATGATGGGTCTATTTTTCAAAATTATTATTTCA